TGGAGACTTGTTCAAAATTGTAGGCACACTGAACCAGCAAGGCTACCACAGCATCCTTCAGTGTCAAGCCATTCCATCCAGTTTGCATTAGGTTTGGCCATCATTTATTTCTGATAAGTCTGGAGACTGTGCTGCCACTCCATGTTTTCAAGCTCACCATCTTTTTCTTTTTTCCTGAGGTAGTTCTGGCATAGCTTGGACTTGTGTTTTGGGTCTTCTTGCTGTAGACACACACCAGAGGGTCCTGCACGGTGCTGCAGAATGCTGTCGTAGCTGTTTTGGTTCAGGGTGCCTCTCACTCTGTATAAGTCACCGACCCTGGATCTAGCAAAACAGCAAAACATCTAGCAAAACCATCACACATCCTCCTCCACATTTGACGGTTGATGGCACACACTGTGGAACCATCCTTTCACCTACTTGATGGCGTACAAAGATCCTACGTGATGAACTGAAGATTTCAAATTTTGATTGATGAGCCCATAATACCTTCTTCCAGTCTTCAGTAGTCCAATGGTGGTGTTTCATGCCCAGGCAAGCCTCTGTCTTATTCTGAAGTCTTAGCGATGGCTTTCTTGCTGCAACTTGTCCTGTCAAACCTGCAGCTTGAAGTCTTCTCTTTACAGTTGAAACTGAGACTTTCTTACTACGACCACTATTAAGCTGTGCTTGAAGCTGTTGTCCTTGTGAGCCGCCGATCACACAAGCTGTTAACTCTCAGAAACTTGTCCTCTGATTCAGTTGTGGCTTTGTTTCTGAGTGCCTTTTGATGGTGAAGGAAACTGTACTCAATGACACCTTGACTTTCTTTGAAATTTCTCTGTAGGAAAGATCTACATTTTTAGGTGTTATGATTGTCTGTTATCAAGAAATTCCATTGTTAATTGCCTTTTTCTCGCCATTTTTGTAGCAACACACTACTTTCTGCAGTACAATACTGTTCAATTGATGCTGACGAGGGTATGGTACCACAGTGTATTCCAACACTGCTTTTATACGGACAGAGGGGGTTGTAATTAATCCAGAAAAGTTGGAACACCTGTAGGAATTACTAACACCAGCTTTCAAAGCTTCATGAACCGCCATTGCTGCAGAAGAGCTTTAAATTGTTAACCCATGTTTTGTTCCCTGAAAAAGGCCTGTTTGTATAATTCTGAAATATATATTATGTTTCAGTTTTGGTTAACCTTACCTTTTTTTAACCTCTAGCAGTTCACCTACCTTGAATGTACTTGAATGACTTGAATTGCAATAAATAACTGGACAAATCGGGGTGTTCTTTCGATTGGTAGTGTCTATGTATATGTCTGTGCGTGTAACAAACCTTCATGGTGACATCTGCACACTGTAATGAAACACTACATTTTTTTGTAAGACAGGCAGAAAGGCTGGTGCAATAGTACATTCTCACAGTTTTCACAAAATCTGATTAAGTTGTATACGCAAGTTTTTTTTTTCTGTGCTTAGAAACTGCAATCTGTCCTCAGTGAGAGTGTCACACTGTTCTAAAATACTCCACAGTGTCTAGTTAGAGTCAGTAATTAAACAAGACATCTGCTAGAACGAGGAGCCAACTGAAAATGAAGCAAATTACTTTATTACTGCTGTTCAAAAAAATTGGATACGAGTGTAAAAGTTAATCCACTGCTTGGGTCAATTAAAGCCAAGAGAAACGCCTAAGTTAAATTTTTTCCTTTCCCTGTGATTGGATCGGTAGCTGCCCAGTTTGCATGCCAAAGTGTCCTTGGGAAAGATATAGGACCCCAAGTTGGACAGAAAACTCCTTTAAAAAGTGCTCCTTTCAATGAGGCATGTTGTGAAGTGCTTTGAGTACCTAAGTGAAAAAGTGATATATAAGAACTAACTCATGATAAAAAGAAATAAAGTGGACTAACTTAGTTGTAACATTTTATATTCTTTCTAGTTTAGTAGAAAGAACTTGAAGTCACTTTAAGTAGTCATGTATGATTTGATCAGTTTTTTACATCATTGTGGATGAACTTAGGGCCACTCTTCTTTACAGCTTTACTTAAGTTTATTTATGCTCAGCTCTCCTAAGGTCTGATGAGTGCAGTTCAGTTAGGCTTAGGTCTGCTCTTTGACTGGGCCTCCCTTTGAGAAGCAGTCTCAAAGGGAGTTCTGTAGCTCACATGTTGGAGCAGGTCATCTACTAATCAGAAGGGTAGGGTTCAATCCTTGGCTCCTCCCATCTGCATGCCAAATATCCTTGGGGAAAATACTAATGTCAAGTTGATCTCTGATGCATCCAAAATGTGAATGTGTGTGAATGTTAGATGGAAAGCATTGAAAAAACTGCTTGTATGAATGGATGTGAATAGGTGAATGGGGCATGTTGTATAGAGAAGAAGAGTGCCATCTGGTGATGATCAATTAATCAAGTATGTTTAAAAACCAGCACCTGGCTGCTGCATACCCTCTTGATTCCTAAGGTAACAGTATGGGTGTACTTAGTTTAATATGTCATGTGTTACTGTTCATCTAGCTGGCAAACCTTTAGGACACGCTAAAGATCTGATTATTTTTATGATGTCCTGATTTGTATAATAACCTGCAATTTAAAGATGGTATGTTTTTTTCACACAACCGAGAACAGAAAAGAAGACTTACTCACTGTCATGCATCAAAATCATGATTGGAGTGCATCCTTATAAACACATGTCAAATACCAACAGTCTGGTGTAGAGATGGACCGATCCGATATTACGTATCGGTATCGGTCCGATACTGACCTAAATTACTGGATCGGATATCGGAGAAAAATAAAAAATGTAATCCGATCCATTAAATATCACGAAAGCACCTCACAAAACTTGCAACACGCCGTAACTCACCTCAGAACGTTAGCACGTCGGAGCAGTATGCATCACGTGATAGAGCGGCTGTGGCATGCGGGACCTGTGGTGGTCTGGATAGCATGTGGAGCTTCGCTAGCAACCCGGCATTTCATCTCCGACAAAGTTATCCCGAGAGAAGTAAAGCAAGTGTGTAAGTCCATCTCTGAATGTTAGTAAAGCATTCCTGCGTTAAGCTTAACAAGCGATATATGGAGCGACTGCCTCTCCTGCTGCTACTTCAATCATGAAACTGCTTAACGATCAGCTGATCGGCTTTTCTGTCGCGAGTCCGTGTCTCTAGTTTGCTTTTGGCCCACTTTGCACCAGAAAGAGGAAACCAGCGGCTGAACAACAGCAGCACGTTTAAGCTTGATCAGCTGTTGTTAGAATTTATTTATTATTACTTTCTACTCCAGGATCTTTTTCTACGTAGCTGACGCTGGTAACTGTGCAGGGGCGGATCTAGCAAAGTTTAGCCAGGGGGGCCGATAGGGCATGAACAGGGAAAAGGGGGCACAAAGACATACTTTTCTTTCTTATTCTCATTTAAAATGTCGAGCTTTTAATAAATAATTATCTGACACCCAAAGTTTTAATTTGATGTAAAATGAATAGAAGTCCATTACTGTATATAGTAACTATTAAGTCTAATATACCCTAGTAAGCTATAGTACTTTTTCCTTTGGGAAGGTACCATCTGTGCAGTCTGCAATTTTGTTGAAGAAAGATGTTGAATCTATTTAATATTTCTTGAAAAATTATTGATTTCTGTGCATTTTTTTTTCACACTGCATCAAATTAAGGTTGATTACGTTGATTAAGCATCATGAGGTGGAGCGTGAGGGGTGGTTCCCTATTTTTTATTTATTTATTTTTGTTGTTGCTGGGAGTTGGAACCCTATTAGTTAGGTTGCTTAATATTTATGCTAAGTACTCTTTAAAATACCAGAATAGGGAGGATGGTGCAGGTTTAAGTTTATTAGATTGATCAGTATTGCTGAACTATGAAATATTTTTTTTTACATACAGGTATAACAGAATAGCTTTAGTGTAGTTGTTGTTTTAAACTTGAGTATGAACTTATACAAAATGCAGCAAGATATTTAAAAAACAGTTTTGTTGATTAAAACACTATCTCTGTCGGATTCATATTCGTATCGGTATCGGACATAAAAAAGTGGTATCGTGCCATCTCTAGTCTGGTGTGGGTCTGGATTCGGTATACTCTTACACATAGGATGTCAGACCCTCAGGCTACCCTCTTGCTTGGCTCACCCACAGTTTTTTCTGTTTCTCTGTTTGGTCAGAGGCATTCATACCAGAGGCCTGTTCAAAGTCATTTGTAGAGCTCTAGCAGTCCTCATCCTGTTTCTTCTTGCACAATGGAACAGATACCTTTATTGATGATGGCTTAACAACCATCTACAGACCTGTCTGGTTCTCCAAGAGTATGCCTGTGTCCTGGAATCTCCTCCGTGCTCCTGAGACTGTGCTGGCACCTTACAGTAATGCAAAACTCCAGTTAGCTTCAAGGCCTGTGATACACAGATTTTTTCAAACCACTTACAGGTCTGCATTTCTCATTTTTGCCATGGAACAGGATGTCCTGCTGCGAACACAGCAGCAAACACCTGGTTACTGTTCAAGCATTTAGATTCTGACGGGCAACCAATCAGAAGAATGTTGCCTTAAAGGGGAGGAGTTAAAACAACGTTCTTTTCTTTCCAAGAATAAAAATAATGAGCAATTAACTTTATAGTTGATCAGCAATCAAGAAGTACTGCAATTCACAGACATAGATTGATTATAACTATATATTTGTTATTATATTATATAGTAGTAATAAAACAAATGAATCAGAATTTTGAACATATGTCAAATTAAGAACCATTTCAGAAATTGTTGATCAGCAGAAAGCTGGTATATGTTTGGTGAGAGTATTCACATCTCTCTGTTACTGTCCCTTTAAGCAGTCAGTGTAGACTGTGACTGGCCAGCTGAGTGAGTGAGTTTCAGCCTGTACTGCTGTAGTGTCGAGCCAGAGCAGCAGACAGCACAGGTGCTCAAGTAGAGCTCTCACCCTGATACACACACAAACACAGATTATTCACACACAATCGTGCACATTCTCTGAGTAGAGACAGCATGAGTACAGTGTCTGAGTCTCTAGATGGGAGCAGCAGGTCTCTGTCTGCAGCCAGGAGACACAAGAGTATCAGGAAAACCTCCAGGAGGATTTATTCTGCCTACCAGGACCACCAGGAGGGGTGAGTCTACTCTCTGTTCTTTCTTCACTCTTACTACTATCAGCACTTGTGGAACTCCTCGCTGCTCGGATCTCTCTGTCTATCTGTTTATAGCTGCTCTTTCAGAGCTTCAAATTTCCTGTTAGTTACAAAATTTCTCATTTTTAAATGATGTCAATAAGGGAAAACTGCAAAGATTTTTACATTCCTCTACAAATACATTTGTTTTGCTTGGCTCATTAATTAATATTACTAAAGAGTCTGGCTCCTGGAAAGCAAACACAAAGAGGTACAGAGAGCATACAGATGAGTTTTTGTTTGATGTTTGAAATGTACTGCATGAATGATATATGGAAAAATACCATCATTTGACATCCCTTATTGATTGTAATGCATATTTGCATAATAGCGTTGTGACAGTGAATATTGTTTGTGTATAGAAATGCTTGCATCGAGCTGTTCTTCTGTAATGGGGATATATTCAGTCATGACTTTTGCATTCCATATTTCAGCTAAAATAATTTATGTTACTCATTTATTACCATAAGTGTTTACACACAGAACAATTAGATTCACTCCTTTTGGAGATACAGCAAACAGCTGTCTTCTTCAATGCTTTCTTATTAAAAGTGAACTACAAATTTACTACAACAATTAACAACATAGCAAATGCATTTGTATTAATGGGCTATCTAATGGTAGAAAACCACTGGAGATACACTATTTGTAAGCTGTAAGTACTGCATCTGACAATCATATTGGTCATAGTTTTTGTCAGATAGTTTTCTGCATATGAAATCTCTCCTTTGTGGAAAATCAATGTACTGCTTCTGCATTCACCATCGACAAGGGTGTTTTTTGTTTAGGAAAAAATTCAGTAAAATAAAAATTAATAAATAGAAATAACAGCAACTGAATAATTTACTTGCGACCTACTTCACAGTTTCAGTTTAATTCAATAATCACATTAAAATAAGTTTAGATATCTCAACATACAGAAAACATAAACATAAGTACAAGAATACCAGCGACAACCAAGACTTAGAGCTGCTAAATCTCATTCCCGGTGCTTCTAACTTGGCCTCATATGGCTCAAAGTAACCAAACATATGAAATGCCATGAGGCTGCTGCCTCATCAAGCTTTAATAAATGGCAGAAACAAAAAGAGATGGGAGCAATGGCTAAAAAAAAATGAATTCCAAGAACCTTTTTCAAAATATGAAATCAGCGATTTCTTGAATATCAGCAGTCCATCATAGAGGCAAGATTGTAACCCAATCAACTGAACTTAGAAATACCTACATGTGCAAAAGAATGATTCATAATTGAAAAACAGGATTGTGATCTGTCCATCGCTCAGTTCTCATGCACATCCATTAGTGGGTTGGTGTGTCTTTATGCATGTCATTATGTGTATTTGTCTCTGTCCGTGGCATGGCTTCTGACCTGGTCCCCTGGGGGTTGTGTCTGGGGTGGCTCGGGCCTCTTCTGTGTGGGCTGGAGAGGGGGGTGTTTACCTGGTGGTTCTTGGTTTTCTTGGGCCCAAAATTACCATTTGTGATTGTTCGGGGTTCATTAGTTCTTATTGAATTGGCAGCTTGCATATCTTGCATATTTTGAAAACCACCATCCGTGCTGAAAAGTACAGTTGTGGCTGGAAAATCTGAGTGTGACACAAGTATTGGGTTTTCTAAAATTTGCTGCTTCACATCTGCAATTCACCCTGACATGCTGCCAATCAACTTCCTGTCTGATAGCAACCCATTCTTGAAAAATTAATGCGTGGAGTTTGTCAGAATTAGTGGGATTTTCTCTGTCTGCTTGCTTCTTGAGGATTGACCACAAGTTCTCAGTGGTCTGGGGAGTTTCCTAAACGACTTAGCTATAACTTGTTCAGCAGCTAGAATTAGTTTTGAAACAAGAATAGGACAACATTCCTCTCCCAAAAGTCCAGCACGTGGTCTCATAAGTTCCCAGGTGTTTAGGGAATGTCGTTAAAAAAATGCAAATACTACACAACTATAGATGTATCCCTGTCACAACTTTCCTTTATATGTTACATTTGCTCCATTTAAAAATGTTCTCACTTTATGACATTTTCAAATTATTTGCTTTTATTCACATTTTACACAGCCTCCCAACAATTTTTGTAACGGGGGTTGTATAAAGTGAGCCTGACTGGAAATATAGATTAATATGACACATCAAATGAAAAATATTATCTCAAAGTAGAGACATTGCAGCCATGTTTTTTTTCCACTCTGAAACCTCTTAGATCCGTCCTTTGTAACAGAGTAACACAGAACCATATTTCCCTTTGCCCGTGTGTCCTATTCTGTAGCTCCTCAGATGAAGAAGACAAAGTAGATGAGAGGGTGGACAGCAATGATCCAGAGGAGATGTTCCAAAACATTCAGTACCAGAAGGAGATCATCGCCAATATTCGGACTAGGCCCTGGCCAATGAGGCGCAAACTCAAAGTCCTAAAGTAACCATCATTTGATTGGGATCTCTGTGTAGACTGCTACTCTGTTGCTTTTCTTATTCTCTGTGTACTGTGTATATGGTATATATACCATATATATATAGGTTCCTAGATATATGCTCATACTGCAGACATATGAATAATTAAATATTCTTTTATCTGTCACTAACATACATACATATGTATGGTTTGAAGAGGACTGCATTACATTCAAAAGTGTTTCTGATATTACATACAAGAGTGGCATGCTTTTACAGAATGGCGAACAGAGATGGCCACCTTGCATTATCATACGCACACAAACAACAGCACTTATTTCAGAAAAATTCAGCCAAAGTTCAGAAGCAGTGTGCGAAAAACTAAGTGCAGCTTCCATAGGATAACTAGCACTGTTTAGTAAGTAAGATAAATTGGATCAGATTAAAACACAACATTTATGCTGCCTATCTGCACACTACACGGACATCTTCACATTTCTGGCCTCCTTCCTGGCTGAAGAATTGTAAAATATTATTTCTTCTGTAGTTAAATTGATATTTGCTATATTGCAAAAATTATTTATTATTAGCACACAACGACCAGCTGTGGAGGAATTTTTCAAACCATTTCTTAACAAAAAGAAGCAATAAAACATCATTAAAACACCTCGCCACAAATAAAACTGTATTATTGGAAAACTGTGCATAAAATATAAAAACCTAAAATGCACCTTTCTATATGGAGATTTCTGTTATAAGCTGGGAGGAGGATAGACCCACACAGCCTTATTTACTTAAAATAATAAAAATAAATGGCACTGTTACTGATGTGCTGAGGTTTTGCAGGCGGTCCTAAGGCTCACACTCACAGTCTCTTAGTGTTTACTGGTTCCAGACACAGGGAGAGCTCTGCACAGAAACAATGATTATTCCAGGGTAAGATGAATAGGCAGACAGAACGAATTGAGGCCAAGCACGTCACCTGGCTGATCCAACAATCTAGAGGTAGAGCAGGTCATCTACTGATCAGAAGCTTGGTGGTTGGATCCCTGGCTGATCCAGTCTCCATTCCAAATATCCTTGGGCTAACTCCAAGCTCTCTCTGATGCACTGGAGTATGAATGTGTGTAATTGGTAGATAAAAAGCCCTTAATCCTAGAAGAAAACGCTTGTATGAATAGGTGAATGAGGCATATATAAAACGGCTTGAGTGCTCTGGGAGAGTGGAAAAGTGCTATATAAGAATCATTTCATTTAACTCTGGGTACTCTAGCTTTGCAGTATAATTGTTATTTGTAATTTTAAATTGGCCATTAACTTTTGGTAGATGAAGTGCTTGAAGTGTATAAAATCAGTCAATATCAATGGATGTATAATTCAAATCTGATTTCATCTTGATGCATTCTCAATCACCCAGGTAAGTAAATCTCCAAAGGTTGGTTCTGTTCATCTGGACGTAGCATTTTGTGGGAGAAACGTTTCATCACTCCCCGATCTTAGAAACAGTACATTTGCACGAAACGTTTCTCCCACAGAAAACGCTGCGTCCAGATGAACAGAACCAACTTTTGGAGATCAAATCTGATTTGTTGTATAGCACTTTTTATTTGATTAGTAGGACTAGAAAAGCACTACACTTTATTGTCAAAAATATTCACTCATCTATCTTCACATGCATATGAACTTGAGTGACATCCTATTCTTAAGCCATAGGGTTTAATATGGTGTTGCCTTTATAGCTATAACAACTTGAACTCTTCTGGGAAGGCTTTCCACAAGGTTCAGGAGTGTGTTTGTGTGAATTCGGACCATTCTTTCAGAAGCATATTAGTGAGGTGAGACACAAGTGTTGGACCACAAGGCTTGGTTCACAGCAGGGTCCAGTCTCTGGACCTTACTTTGTGCACTGGTGTGCAGTCAATTTGGAACTGGAGGGGCCATCCTCAAGCTTTTCCCACAAAGTTGAGAGCATGAAATTGTCCAAAATGTCTTGGTATGCTAAAGCATTAAGAGTTACTTTCTGAAAAACAAGCTCACATCGTAATCCCTGCTCAACCAAACTTTACTCTTGGCATAATGCAGTCAAACAAGTACTGTTCTCCTTGCAAATGCCAAGTCCAAACTGATGGAGATGGAGAAGCATGATTCTTAACTCCAGAGAACACATCTCCACTGTTCTGGAGTCCAATGCATCCAATGCTTTGCACTTCACTTGGTGATGTAAGGCTTGGCTGTAGTGGGCATGGAAACCCATTCCATGAGGCTGTCTGCAAACTATTCTTGAGCTAATCTGAAGGCCATGAAGTTTGGATGTCTGTAGCATTAGACTCTGCAGAAACCTGGCAACCTCTGTGCACTATGCATCTCAGCATCTCTTGACCACACTCTGTAATTTATATACCCCACCACTTTGTGGCTGAGTTGCTATCGTTCCCAATCATTCCCACTTTGTTTTAATACCCAGCAAGGACATTTCACAAGTGGACTTGTTGCACAGGTGGCATCCTATCATAGTACCACATTGGAATTCAGTGAGCTCATGAGAATGAATCATTCTTTCACAGAAGCATTAGTAGCAGCCTAGGTGCTTGATTTTAAACAGCTGTAGCCATGGAAGATGCCGAGATCAGATGAGATCGGGCGCCATCGGCCATACCATCAGGATGGTATGGCCGTAAGATAGTTCAATGCATCCATAGCAAACATTTTCACTGCTATGCAGATGACACCCAACTCTATCTGTCCATGAAGCCAGATAACACACACCAATTAGTTAAACTGCAGGAATGTCTTAAAGACATAAAGACCCAGATGGCCGCTAACTTTCTGCTTCTTAATTCAGATAAAACTGAGGTCAGTGTATTCGGCCCTGAAAATCTGGTATATGGACCAGGTGACCATAAATCCTCCCTTAGTTATGCTGCAATAGGCGTAGGCTGCCGGGGATTCCCATGATGCATTGAGTATTTCCTTTTCAGTCACCTTTCTCACTCACTACCCACATAGCAAGCAGGTCTGGCCCGGATCTGGTATCAAGCCGGCACTGCTGGTTTACTTCTGGCATGATAAGACGTATGTCATCCAGATATGGGCCAGGTCTAGTAATGACGCCACTGTTTATGTGATGGCATGCCACATCTGGCCCGATTGTGGTTTGATTTATGTGGCCCAGGCTCATAGAAAACAGGTCTTCCCTGGATCTGGTATCAGAAACTGGCACTTCTGACTGATTAGTGTCATGGCAGGGTGTATGCCAAGTAAATGTGGGCCAGGTCTGGTAATGATGGCACTATTTATGTTCCTATTTTTCTGTTTCAGTCAGAAGACCCAAATGCCATGTTGCAATATGATATTGCTATGGTAGCCAACGTTTCAAATGCAGATTTGACAGGTTTGTGAGTGTACACTTTATCCAAAACCTAGTGAGGTTTTACTCATCTTTGCCAGTGGCTGGCTGTAACTCAGGAGGTAGAGCAGGTTGCCGACTGATCGGTTAGTGGTTCGATCCCTGGCTTCTCCAATCTGCGAGTCTGTGTATGAAAATAGTTAGGAAGCACTCAGTCTAGAGAAAGTGTGCGATTGGGTGAATGTGGCATGTTGTATAGAGCACTTTGAGTAATCCGGGAGAGTAGAAAAGTGCTATATAAGAATCAGTGCATTCACTGTCTGAAGAGAGTTTCGTCATGTTACTTTTGCACTATTATGTTCCGGCACATGTTGTTATTACATGGCTTGATTAGGTTACACATTAGGCTGACATCTGGCCAGCAGTGTGTCTGCAACTGGCCCGTGGCTGCACACAACTTACACATGGCCCACATACCACAAAGAATGACGGCCCTTTGGTGGCCCAGATCAGGTTTACCAGAGATAATCCACACATGGGCCAGCACAGGACCATCAATGTGTCTGCAACTGGCCTTGTGCTGGCCCATGTGTGGATTACCTCTGGTAAACCTGATCTGGGCCATACCAATTTTGCTATGTGGGTATGTGTTAACAGACCTCTCTGCACTGAATCACACTTGTTATTAACCTCTGTCTCTCTTCCACAGCATGTCTTTCATCCTGTTTTCCTTCTCTCTCCCCAACCGGTCGCAGCAGATGGCCCCGCCCCTCTGAGCCTGTTACTGCCAGCGCTTCCTCCCTGTTAAAAGGGAGTTTTTTTCCACTGTCGCCAAAGTGCTTGCTCATAGGGGGTCATATGATTGTTGGGTTTTTCTCTGTATGTATTTTTGTAGGGTCTACCTCACAGTATAAAGCATCTTGAGGCACTGTTGTGATTTGGTGCTGTATAAATAAAATTGAATTGAAATGGAAGATGGATTGGAACACTCCAAAAGTTGATCCTGTTCATCTGGACGTAGCGTTTTGTGGGAGAAACGTTTCATCACTCATCCAGGTGACGTCTTCAGTCTCAGCTGACTGCAGGTTTCCAATCTTATAAACAGAACATTTGCATAATGACTGAAACCAGCCCACTGAAGGAACAATGGGCTGGGAGGTCAGTTCCTCAGTCATAATTATGCAAATTCTCATGACCATTGATCAACAACAATGGATTGGAACACTTAAAGTCACTTTGATGTGTCAGTGAATACTTTTGGCAATATAGTGCATATTAAAGCAAGCAAATAATACAAAAGCATTCTAAAGTCAAATATAAGGGCATCTGTTGCAAAGCTAGGCCAAAATTGTGTAATGGTGCAATTGGGACAATGATCCCAAGCACACCAGCAAATCTACTACAGAACTGTCAAAGTTTCAGAGGACTCAGATGCAGCTGAGAAAGGTTCTACAGGGCTTAATGAACAATTTCAAGAATGACTCCAGCAAAAATGTTTACTACAATTCTTTCACGAGTCAGGATATCACTTTTTCCACAGGGCCAGCTTTGCAATGTCAAAGCCTCTAGAACAGTTTGCAACTGAGAGTGTGTGAGAGACTTGGCCAGACAGGTAAGTACTCAAACAACACAGCAGCTAGGTTTTGACACAGAGTAGGGCAACAATGTGGTGACAAAGGGAGAGGAAAGTACTGCCAGTGACAGGAAACAGATAAGCCTGTTTTAAGCTGGCTGAAACAAGTACACAGGGTGATATGTCATGCAATTACATGGCACGTTACACTGTAATTTTAGAATGTGGTAAATACCAGATTATTTTTTAATTATTTCCTTGTACATAAAACCTTGGAACTAAAGGAAGGTGGGAGGGTTTTCACATCACTGTACACAAAGAGCATATATGAGGGACACATTTAATTTTACCTTCACCAATTATATCTTTTTGCATAAGGAAATGTAATTTTTTTGATAGTATCAACAAATAGTATCGACTGACTGAGTCCAAGGAGACTACTAACAGAGAACAAGCTGAGCCACAGAGAGACAGAGGGAGTAGATAGAGAGCTCCTGAGATGTGCTGAGTGTGTGCCATGAATAACAGGTTTTATATGGGCAGTTTGCTATTACCGCAGAGGTTTTATTACCATCATCAGGGATGGGATGCTAGCGTGCAGTTTCAAACCCCCTTTAATCTCAGGGTGAGTGTAATTATTTCCACTGCAAGAACAATTTATTTCACACCACAAATTTGTGCTTTTTACCCACATTTCCAGACACGAGTTGTTCTTCAGCCCTGTAAATGAACATGCATTTATTGTAAAGCCGTAGTTTCTTTTTTGAGCCTTGAAAGTCTGTAAATTATTATACAATTCACATACTCAGTACTCAGTGGCTTCCTAGTTGTTCCTTGTGCCATAACAAAAACAGGTTTGATTACTGGAATCAGAGAAATAATATTTATATATCGAAAATGTTGGGGCTACTTCAAGAACATTTAATTAAGATTTCATTTAATTTAGAGTTATGCTCACTTGGTTATTGATTACTTGATTGCACTTGATTATGTGTACTGCGTAAGTATTCACAAAATTTTCATTTGTAAAAATGCAAGTAACTGAATGGAAAGATCTTTTTCTGTTTAAATAAATAAATGTACTTGGTGGACTTTATCTGTGTGATTCCCAGGCAGGCCAGAGAGATTGTTCTGAGATATGAGGGCCGACTAACCAGAACCAGAGGTTACCAGACCGCAGGAGCTGATGTACGTCCACCAGCCTTTCATCCACTGACTTTTTTTTTTTGCACTAACAATCTAATCCTGCTGGACTGGAGATTGGAGAAACAGATTGCTTAATGTATTTATAGTGCATTATAGATCTTGTCCACAACAGGATAAAGTGCTATTTCAGGGCAGTTTTATTTCTCTGCACTGCAGTGGCCTGATGATTACAGCCAAAACAGTAAATTGTGTTTGATTTCTTATATAAAGGCTGCTGAGTTTTGATCTTTCAAGGCTCTTCTCCTCTGTGGGCTGAACACACATGTGTATAACTCTTTATTCGTATTTGCAAAAAGATTAAGTCAGACAGTGAGAAAGATAGTTGTGCTGCAATAATCCATGGAGCAGCACAAGTGAATTTATAGCCCATGTTACGGCGCAGTTAATTCAATGTTTGGGCTGCTTCCCACCCATTAGAATAAATTGACTTTCAGTGAGCAGTCTGACGATCAGGTATCAGTTCTACAGTTTGGCTCACGGTTAATTGAAAATCAGAATCAATGGCCCAGCTGACCTTCTCATGATTAACAATTAACAGCTTAGTTGTGTTTCTTATCTTTCAGCACTCTAAAAATGATACAGCCACACTGTTTCAGATCTCCGGTGTCTGCTACTTTATTATATGCTGAAAATTGGAAATTAGACAGTTCATCAACACACAATAAATAAAAAATGTAATTGCTGTTATAATTTTAGACTTTACTGAGAGCTTTTCATCACAGAAACAATGGTAGAAGTAGTTTTTTGTTAAACCTCTGTCAGTGTTTCTCAGCTTGATTCTCTCCTGCAGCTGCTGAAGAAACTTTCCCGTTTGCTTTACAACATTGTGGTGCTGTTCATTCCTTGGGAAGTCAGGATCAAGAAAATTGAAAGTGAGTTATCTGTTTTCTTTGTTCATGAAAACGTGTTTCCTACATCTGCTGGCTAAAAAGAAAAGAACAAAGGAGCAGGGTGTGTGTGTGTGGGGGGGGGGGGATAAGAAATCACTCATGAAGTTCAACAGGACAGAAAATGGGAAATTTGCTAGAAATAACTTTGAAAATAGCATCTTTTCATCAAGGAAACTCATTGCTTTCCACATCGGCTTTGCTGTGATATATTCAAACATTAGATGGCCTTATTACATTTTTTAATAACTGGATTTAGCAACAAAGAAATATTTGTGATTTTAGCTCAGAATCAACACATTACCATAAGCATATGGACTTTGAAGAGACGTTGTTGTGAACTGGGGCCATTCAAGAGAAAATAACACACTGATTTAAATGCATATCAAGAACAACGGCACAACACATCCAAGGATACTGCTGGTTACGTGTTTAAGCTATTCAAATTTGTGGTACAGCAGAACACAGTCCAACAGACTGTTATATCCAAAGTGTTATATGCTTGGATGGTTGTCCGGAGAGGAGTCGTGTTATGGCGTATTAGGCCACCACAGTAAGCTGGCCCAGTACAACTGCCTAATTTGACATATTTTTCTCAAAAAATCTTTTTTATTTCTTTGTCATTAATGTACCAAATAGTGTTTGCTTCCAGGCACCAAGAATGTGAAAAGTTTATTCGGTGAGCTGTGTTTATTATTACGTTAGATTAAGCTTTGAAAGAAACCACCAAGCTTTTTGATCAAACAGCACCATTAAAATGCATTACTGTCAGTGGTGTACACCTACAGCAGTGTTTGTGTGTGAACTATGTGCAACGTATTAGTCAGTCTTATTTTGATGTTTCCTCTGACTTGCTGAGGTCACTTTGGGTCAGGCGTGGCCTCCTACTTTATCTTCCTCCGCTGGTTGTTTGGGATCAACATTGTTCTCACCATCATGACTGGAGCCTTCATTGTCCTACCAGAGGTCAGAAAATCTCTCATACCATATATGGATGGATGGACTAGAAAGTTCTAGTTTCTTTAGAATGGTAATCCAGCTGCAAAACTACACAGGCACTTGACAACCTTGCTTTTATACAGGAATATAATCCTAATACAACCACTTAGCAGCAGCTAAGTTAAGTCCCCTGCTGGACAGAGAGATGTCATAGATGAATTGCACTCATTGGCGCCAACTAATTCAGACTCATTGCAAGATTTATGACTCTTAGAGATATCTATGATAGTAATTTTCTATTCATAAATGCGTGTTAACTTCTATTTCTCATACGGTGCTGTGAAAATGTTGAGTTTAACTGGCAATGAGTCTTTCAGATCCTGCTGGAATTTGCTCCACTCTTCTTTACAGATATCAGTTACATTTAAGTCCAGAGTTTGACGAGTCTGCACCAAAACCACCAAAAAAGATCCATTTTTGATAAAGCATATAGTTCGGGCTGGATCGACTGTCATCTGTCAGATGATCTGGGGTCTTTGACCCTGCACTTATTATTATACCCTCTGCATATCCCTCTTTATTCTTGTTTGGATTTTCATATTCTAGCCTTAATTTCTGGGTTTTTTTGTTGTTGTTTTGTTGTTTGTTTGTTTTTTCGGGGGGGTCCATGATATTTTCAGGTTGTATTTTGTTTTCATAGTTGGATGTTTTCTGCCCATCTGTGTTCTCCATATCAAGTTTGCATTCTTGTGTCCTGTGTTTAGTTACGTCCTGTTTTCATTTGTTACCATGCTAATGTTGTGTGCATTGTCTTTAGTTTTGCTTGCCCTTCTCTCGTTAGCTAGATTTGATCTTTTATCCACCTGTGTCTTGTCTTCCCCAGCTTCCTCCCCTCTCCCTAATTACCTTGAGTGTATTTAAGCGCTTAGTTTTCCTCAGGTATTTGTTGTACTGTACTGTTTGACAATATTTTCTTGCAGGACTCTTTCAGCACATATCCTGTCCCTTTCTTTTCTTTTAAATTTAAATGTTAAATATCTTAAATAATAAAACCTACACAAATGGTCAATGATGAGTTTTGTATTTAATTTTTACCCCAGTAAATATATTGTTGATTTGTCCTTTAGTACAGATTATAGAATATTTGCAAGGCAAGGCACGGACAGTAATAGTGGGATGGGGGTGCACCTGGATATATATCTAACACTGACATGCAGACACAAGCAATTTTCTCAGACATAACTTACAATGTCATTCCCACTGCATATCTTGATCCTCCATTTTTCTTCTTTCTCACTTCATGGCTTGTTGGAATTACCACTCTGCTGTTCCTATTTGCACGTCTCACCTTTATCTCACCTTGCTTAGTGAATAATATTGTTCGCTATCAAACATTATAGGTTCTCATTTTCATGTTTCTGTATTGTACTGGGAATTGAGTGGGTGGCCGTAGCTCAGGTAGCAGAGCAGGCCACTTACTAATCAGAAGCTTGGTAGTTTGAGCTCTTCTTGTCAAATGTCCTTGGGCAAGACACTAAACCCATGTTGCTCTCTAATGCATCCATTGGAGCATGAATGCATGTTAATGTTAAATAGAAATCACTAGCATAGAAAGAGTACAGAAAAACTGTGTTTGTGTGAATGAGGCAAGTTTGACATAGAGTATTAAAGAACCAGTCCATTTACCAATTATTCAACAGAGTTTGAATGTAGGGTCAGTCCACCGGAGTTATCACTGTCTTTCTTTAATAACACACTCTCAAAAACATTTACAGTGCTCCTCAGTCAATGTTCAATGTTCAATTGTTCAATGTACTGCACACAGTGGAACACAGGCTTGTTTGAGCCTGTGCTGCTGAAGCTGTAGGTTTGCTCACTTATAAAGAAATTAACATCCTCCAAAAAACAAACATTTAATTTTAATCAAAAAACCCCCAGTAGAAAACATATTGGCTAAAAGTTAGAAATTGACTTGCATGGCCAACTGAAATAAGTATTTGATCCCCAGGGAAAACATGGTGGAGAAACCCTTGTTGGTAACAATGTTTCTACCTCCGTATTTGACTGTGGGGACACTGCAAGAGTTCAGTCTAATATGGCGCACTGTGCTTCAAATTGTGTTCTTTGTTTCTACGGTACTACCTTTAAATCATTAACATGCTAGTTGGTTGATTTTTGAAAATAATAATACTCACAAAGCTTCTGGGTGACGATCTTTAAGCTCATTCCAAAAGGCAGATCTACAACCCCTCACATCCCATATGGAAAAGAAATAGTAAAAAGTTATATGTGATTACTCATGAAAGTGGCCACTTTCTCATTGCTTTCACACATTGTTTTAGTAAGTATCCAAAACATACAAGTTTCATTATATAATTTTTCAAGGGATCTTATATCTGTTTTTACTCTTGTATGCTTTTCATACAAGTTTCACACAAGACAGATACAAAAGATTTATATACTGTATATCTTTTCCATTTGGGATGCTTTGACATTGCTAGGCCATTTGTATTGTTAACACCTGAACAACTGTCTAAGTAAACCTCATCACTCGGGCCACTCACACTCAGAGGCTACTCAGACCAAGTCCTTTGCAACCTGTTCTTCTATTGTATATATTTCTCATGTCTTTTTATCCCTGCTGTCTTACTATTTATGCTTCACACCTGCACAGTTGTTGTGGAGCACCAACAGTTAGGTTGTACATGTACAATGTCAATAAAGGGCTATTATATTGTATTAAATGATCTTGTTATGCAGGTAGATGGATGGAGGGATGAAAGGGTTATCAAAAATCCAACAGTAACACCAAGTTTTTTTTAAATTTTAAAAATCACAACAGAGTTTCTGTAACCTTGCACTGATCTTTACCTAACACTAACGCTGCCATGTGCCTAAACCTAGCAAAACCGTAACCAGGAGGCATGGACTAAAAAAATCAAGCATAATGTTACAAAGTCCAGCTGCAGATCAGTAGGCGATCTTAATATCAGCTCAGCTGTCAGCGAAACTGATGTCCTTGTACGAATCGTCAAGTCTTGCTATTTCTCTCTGGCTCTGGATGGAGGAAGGGGAAGTCCCAGAAGAGTCATACCACCAAATAGATATGGTCACCTGTAGATAACATGACTGAAATGCATTTTATTTATTACAATTACAGTGCACTGAACTATGTTTGTGTGCACTAGCTGCTGGCTGGAGCACCATTTGGAACAACAAGAAGTAAAACTATTCCCAAGGAACACCTGGCTTCAGCCCAGGACCTGGACACCATCTGGTCTCTTGGGGCAAGCTTCTTTCTTTTTACTGTTCTATCAATAGCACATTACTTACAGATAGACTAGAACATTATTTAAACATTATTTTACTCCCTTTCTGACCAATTAAGATAAAACCGATCGAAACCTCTTCCAGTCCAAAAGTTGCATTAGAGTTAGAATATAGGACTGAGCAAGTAAAGACATAATTCTTTCATCCCTATATAAACATTTCATCTAATGGATACTAATGATCATGCTCCAACTGATTTCCTTTACTGTTTTCATTTTCACCATTTTTATCTCTTTGTGTGCATTGCCATGTGTGTTTGTGAAAATGTGTTGTCTTTGATTCTTCACAGGGCTACCTCCAGTACTCTGTGTTATTCTATGGTTACTATGGCAGGGTGAGAAAAATCGGCAGTGCAGGGTACCGATTACCCCTTGCCTACTTCCTGGTTGGAATGGCTGTCTTTGCCTACAGTTTCATCATTCTGTTGCGAAAGTAATCATTATGCTCTTTAAAACTTATACTGATGCTATGATTATCTGATGGGTTAGCAATGTGATGTCTTAGAATGATTTCAAGTTTGTTAAAACTTGGGGAAAAACTGGGAAAAAAGAGTTAAAAGTTAATCTAATCTTTACTTATCCCTACTGAATCTATAACATTTCACAATAACATGGAGTAATGTTTAGCATAATTTCCAATCTTTGCAACATTTAATAATCAGCAACTTAATATAAAATAAAAAGGTCAGGACCCAATGTTTCCCAGCATAACATCGCACAAGGCATCACATTGTTCTCTTCTCCCTGTTGCTGTTAATGCTTCACTGATGGTGAAGGACTGTTATTATTAAAATAAAAAACAAGATGTGCAAAATATATCGTCTGATAACATGCCCTGAAAAATAATATTTCTGCAGAATGGCAAAGAATTCACGCCTGAGCCTGGCCAGTGCTTCTGATGAAAGCTTCACTTTCTGCTGGAGAGTGTTCTGTGCCTGGGATTACCTGATAGGAAACCCAGAGGCTGCAGAGAGCAAAGGAGCTGCCATTGTTAACAACATCAGGGTCAGAGAAGAATGTAACTTGAACTGTGCAATTAATTTTTTTTTAAGAACAAGATATTTAAATTATGACCTAAACACAAGTGACTATCAATATTTTTCTGCACAGGAAGCCATTGTCGAGGAGCAAGAAAAGAAGAAGGATACCAGTCTGTAAGTGCTTGTTTGTGAGCATTGTTTTGTATGTTTTCTGTTTGTCCAGCTTCCTGCAGCTCAGTCTATTGAAGCTATAGGTGAGTGACTGTTTATTTACTACCCCAAGAAGTTGCTTCTGTTCATCTGGACGTAGCGTTCAATGCAGAAGCGTTTCGTCACTCAGCCAAGTGACTTTTTCAGCCTCAGCTGACTGCAGGTTTCCCCAACCTTATAAACAGTACATTTAGTGCATAATGACTGAAACCAGCCCACAGAATGAACAATGGGCTATGAGGTCAGTTTCATGATCATTAATATGCAAATATTCATGACATTGATCAAAAACCATTGATTTGGTGAATGGCTGCAATCACAGCATTGTAAGATGGGCAGGTACCTCAGGCTAGGCTCAAGGCATGCTGAAAGATGCCTTTTGCTGCTACACTAAGGAATGTTTACTGTTCCTCCACTACCTCAACTCATCATCATAAAACATTATTATGTTACGTTGTGTTTTTTTGTCACACTGTCACTTTGTTGCTCTTGTTTGCACATTTGCACGTGCACTTTGTTGTCTGCTGTCTGTTAACAAAAAAAAAGTCTTCCTTAGATAGTTAGATAGTTAGTTTTTGTTATTTATGTTGTAATTTATGTTAGGTCAGTCTGTCTTGTCTCTGCTAGCCAGCTAACTAGGCCTCTTAGTTAGCTAGTTTAGTGTTTTCTGTTAATTTATGTTGTAAATTTATGTTGCATGTAGCACCTTGGTCCTGGAGGAACGTTGTTTCACTTCACTGTGTACTATCTGTATATGGTTGAAGTGACAATAAAGCCAACTTGACTTGACTTGACTTGACTTGAAGAGATTATGTTTCTTAGATTATCTCAGAAGATAACGATGAGGTGGCTGGGGAAGGGGAGGTAAATTCTGCTTAGACTGCTGTGCTTGGATAAATGGCAGGAGATGGATGGATACAGACCTTTAAGTAGCCACAATTCCTTGAAAAACAAGTGAATCTCCTGAAACTGAAAATGGCAGTGACATGTAAATCATTGGCGACACTGAGCTACAATACTTTACTTTAGGCAGAAGTCTGAGTTGATTAAACCCAAAGATTTTCTAATGTTTAAAATCTATACATGTCCAAATCCTTGACATTTTATATTCTAGGTGCAGTGTTGGTATAGGGAGGCTAAAATCCTACAGACAGACTCATGGCTGAAGGTGGTCCTTTTGAAAGTGTAAATAATGTAAATGTAATGTATGTATGTAAATAATGAAAGAGTCAGCAATAGCAAAAAGAGGCTGCAGTGACACCTTATCTGAAGTGTATGTTGTTCAGAACATCCAACATACACTTCAGATGTCTACTAAGAATAGTGCATCACAATTACATCCACTTTTCTAACTGATCATTGCCAATGACACTGTGTTTTCCCTCAGTGCAGTTCTGATCAGTCTACGGATCTTGGCCAACATCCTGGTGCTCCTCTCTTTAGCAGGGAGCATATACATCATTTACTTTGTGGTGGATCGTTCTCAGAAACTGGAGCAGGAGAAGCCGGAGCTGACGCTATGGGAGAAGAATGAGGTACAGGAACAGACTGGACGTCACCATCCTTATCATCAGTTATTTTAATTGGATAATCCAATATACAATACAGTTCTAAGGAACCACTGAAAGTGGAGACTTGACATGGATCCAGTGGAAGGCAACTACTAAATGTATATATCCATCTGCCAGTTTTAGAGAGCTTTAGTCACCTTACAGCAACCAGCTCACTCTCACAACAAAATGTGTAAGCTATGCTGATCAACTGTGCAACACACGTACATGTGTACTCTGTGTGCATACACACATACAGAATTTCTTTTTCTCAACAGAAGCTGTAAAACTGCTACATGCCTACATCTTTTGACCTGTTTTTTATAACACACATTGTTGCCCAAAGAATTTACTCATTCATCCAAATTATTGAATTCAGGTGTTCCAATCACTTTCATGGTCACAGTTGTAGAGGCATGCAGACTGCTTATACAAACATTTGTGAAATAATCGTTCTTTCTCAGGAGCTCAGTGAGAGGGCATTGCAGTACCGTGCAACCATCAAATACTCCGCAGTCAACCGCTAGTGGCATTATGCCACACTGGAAGTGACTGAAAAAGGCACGGAAAATTGCAAAGCGGGGTCAGCGGATACTGTGGGATGTAGTGGCCATCAGAGCTCAAGAACATTGCATAGAGCTTCATAGGTTTTCATGGGCAAGCAGCTGTATCCAAGCATTATGTCACTAAAGTGACTGATGTAGTGGTGAAAAGTACACTGCCACTGCCACTTGGATGCTTATAGCCGAATTTCTTGCCACACACGCATAACTGAAAACTGCACCTAATGAGCATGTTCAGTTATTATAAACATTCAATGAATGAATTAATCAATGAATCAATTAATTAGGACCCTCGGAAATCACTGAAATTGTTAGAAACAATGAGACATATTTGTTACATGCATTTCAGTTAAAATAACAAACTTTTCTCCAACTACCAACTACCCATCAGTTACTTATGTATCCATCTACTTTCCAGGTGAGTGTAGTGGTTTCTCTCATCACCATGATTGCTCCATCTGCTTTTGAACTGGTGGCTCAGCTGGAGATGTACCACCCACGAACCTCACTGCGATTCCAGTTGGCCAGGTACCATTGTCTAACCACAGCCTATAATGACACAATAATGGCATACTATACTATTCAGAAAATGAATGGAACCCTTACACTTTTATGCCAAAAAATCTAAGTTAAAATTTTCCCTTAACTTTGGTTAGTTATGTGACAAGTGATACGAGTTGCAACTTACTCAGGCCCTGCATGTTTTTAAAGTCTTTAATTTAAAACCTAAGTAGTACAAAAACTGGTTTTATGGTTTTTTAAAGTTTGTGGTGATTTTATGGGTAACTGGTATTAATAATATAGTTTCTACTAACCAAAGTTAGTTTGGTTTGTGGGTTAGGTTGTTTTGTTCTCAACAAATTATACAATGTTTGTCAGTAACAATTTTTACTTTGACTATTTCATTCATCAAGATCTGATGAGAGCCCTCATTGGAGCAGTATTTATATAATAACTGAAAGGTCTTACAATGCTCATCAATTTACAGGGTCCTTGTCTTATACCTTGGGAATCTCTACAGTCTCATCATTGCTCTCCTTGATAAAGTCAACAGTATGAGCTCTGCTGTGAGTATGTTAACCAGCCCCAGTTAAGAATTAGTTATCTAGTTTCAAATTTGAACACTATTTAGAAAATAATATAAGATTAATAATTTAATTTGCTGGTCATTCATTTTGCCACAGTTACTAGAAAATAGCACAAACAAGTTACCAAATATTTAACCATGGAAGAATTGCTACAAAAATCACGTTTTGAAAATGCAGTATTTAGTGGACCTTCTGATGAAATTAAAAAAGTAAATGGTAAATGGCCTGTATTTATATAGTGCTTTACTAGTCCCTAAGGACCCCAAAGCGCTTTACACATCCAGTCATCCACCCATTCACGCACACATTCACACACTGGTGATGGCAGCTACATTGTAGCCACAGCTGCCCTGGGGCGCACTGACAGAGGCGAATATTGATGAATATTAATATGAGTTTAAATCTGTATTGTGACTCAGGCATTTTATTTATTTTTTGTTGCAATTTATTATTTAAAAATATAGTGTGGAATTGATTGTTAAGGGGAGAAATATCACTGATGTAAAAGTCCCTAACTCACAAAATCTCATCAAATACAATACATATGGCTTTAAACAGTTAAACTGAGATACATATCATTCAAGAGAAAATTCAGTATGTAGGTTATTTTAATGTTGACATGAGCAACACATTGGACAGAAAATAACTGGTAAACTTGTTATGCTAACAACTAGCACTATTCCAGTGGTATTACTTTGCTACATTTTAAAGCCAAAGTTGAGACTTTAAGAAGGTAAACACAGTTCATTCTATCTTCAGTGTCTTTAAAATGTGTCCAGGTATTCTGTTTACTTTTTATGCACATAAACTAACTAGTTTGGAATTATTTTCTACTATCTTTATACTAATGCTAATGCTAATTGTGTAGGCTAAATAAGCTAATATGCTACAATGCTCAGTCCTACATTTTAGACGTCTAAATTCAGGGGTTGCATCCTTCAAAGGCCACATTTGAAGGCTGATTATGTCACAGCAATGCGAAGAAGACTGTTTTCCCGGGATCTGAAGGATCCATGAGGCGGAACCTTGGTGGCCCACTCTATCCCAAGATTCATTGCGCATTGGTGGTTCTAGAATATTTTTTGAAAAGGATGGTCCAAGGAATGCAGTCAAGGAATAAACTCAAATGTAATTGTTTTTATCTCACTCAAATATCCTGTAGCAAAAATATTAACAAGAATCTAAAATGTCAAAATTCTACAGTTTCAGATGTGTAACGAGTTAGTGATGCTTTTAAAGCTTTTACATTAAATTATAAGCAGTCAAAAAACCAACTTACATGTTTTAGAGTTTGTGTAGATGCTATGGAAAATTGATACTAAATAAATCCAGATTTCCCTTCAGTTGTGTATAACTTTTAAAATCTTCTGCACATACAATTCAGTTTTGATACCAAAGCTGGGTCTGTTTAGTGGTGTGAAGTTTAATATGCTTCAGTGTTTGGCGGGGACATCTGCCGTGACTGGTTGGGGTGAGAGAGAGAAGACGGAACAAAAGACATGCTGTGGAATAGAGCGACTGAAGGCTTTTCAGGGAGTTTTTAGGACATCCTGACATAACAAATTACAGTAGTCCAGCCTAGAAGTGATAAATGCACGAACAGGTTTTTCAGCTTCACTTTGAGAGAGGGCATCTCTACGGGCTGAAATCTGTGCCATCAGAAACTGAAGTTGAATAAGTTAAATTTGAATTTGAATTGCTCGGATTGAATCTGAATTGTAACTTGAATAAATGTTTTTAAAAACTGAATTTGAATTAGCCTAATTTGAAATTCAATTTATTGGTTTGAAAAGGATCATCACTAAATTGAAATTGAATTTTATATTTTGAAATTGAATTCATTTGCTTTGAAACTGCATTTTATCCTTTAAAAATTTAGTTCTTGAATAATTTCAGATTCACTTCTCACCATTCAGTTTCAGTTCTACAATTCAGTTTTTTGGGACTTACATCCGGTTCC